GATTGATGATCTCTTTGACCAGCTTCAGGGAGCGTCTTGGTTTTCCAAGATCGATTTGCGTTCGGGTTATCATCAGATGAGGGTCAGAGAGGAGGATGCGCCGAAGACCGCGTTTCGGACGCGCTATGGCCATTATGAGTTCGTGGTGATGCCGTTTGGGCTCACCAATGCTCCTGCCGCATTCATGGACCTCATTAACCGCGTATGCAGACCGATGCTGGATCAGTCTGTGATAGTTTTCATTGACGACATCTTGGTTTATTCCAAGACACATGAGGAGCATGAGGAGCATCTGAGAGAGTTTTTGGAGACCTTGAGGAGGGAGAGCTTGTATGCCAAGTTCTCCAAGTGTGAGTTTTGGTTGCGAGAGGTGCATTCCCTCGAACACCTTGTCAACCAAAACGGGATTCTAGTTGACCCGGCCAAGGTCGAGGCCGTGATGAGATGGAGGTTCCTAAGTCTCCATCCGAGATTCGGAGCTTCCTAGGATTAGCAGGTTACTATCGGAGATTCATTCAGGATTTCTCCAAGATATCCGTACCCCTGACGCGGCTAACGAAGAAAGTCGTGGTCTTTCGGTGGGGACCTGAGCAGCAGGCTACGTTTGAGACGCTGAGACAGAGATTATGCGAGGCGCCAATCTTAGCCCTGCCTGAGGGCATAGAGGATTTTGTGGTATATTGTGATGCGTCGATCTCAGGCCTGGGCGCAGTATTGATGCAGAGGGGGCATGTCATTGCTTATGCCTCGAGGCAGTTGAAGCCTCACGTGGCGAACTACCCGACACATGATTTGGAGTTGGGGGCGGTGGTCTTCGCCCTCAAGATATGGCGGCATTACTTTACGGGATTCGTTGTACCATTTACACGGACCACAAGAGTTTGAGGTACCTCATGGATCAGCCGAATCTGAACATGAGGCAGCGTCGGTGGTTGGACGTGGTAAAGGATTATGATTGCGAGATCCTTTACCACCCTGGGAAGGCCAATGTGGTGGCCGATGCGTTTAGCCGCAAGGCGGCGTCGATCAGGGATGTTTGCATGAGGATGACCGTGGTGACTCCTCTATTGGAGCAGATTCGAGAGGCTCAACAGGAGGCTATGAAGGAGGAGCATCGGAAGAGTGAGTGAATAGTGGGTCAAGTCACCTCCTTCGATTATGATAGCCGGGGATTATTGACACTACACCGTAGGGTGTGGGTGCCGTATCATGGAGGCGTGCGCCAGATCTTGATGGAGGAGGCGCACAAATCCCGATTCTCTATTCATCCAGGGGCGACGAAGATGTATCGGGATCTTCGCCTAGACTATTGGTGGCCCTGCATGAAGCGGGACGTGGCGTGGTACGTCGAGCGGTGTTTGACCTGCAGGAAGGTCAAGGCCGAGCATCAGAGACCGCACGGAAAGATGCAACCGTTGGATATTCTGTTGTGGAAATGGGAAGATATTACGATGGATTTTATCATGAAGCTTCCCAGGACCGCGCGTGGCGTATATTCGATTTGGGTCATCGTAGATTGATTGACCAAGAGTGCTCATTTTATTCCGATTCAAGAGAGCATCTCGGACGAGAAATTGGCCGACATCTATATTAGGGAGATTGTGGCTTGGCACGGGGTGCCAGTATCTGTTATCTTGGACAGGGATGTGCGTTTTACTTCCAGGTTTTGGAAGAGGTTTCATGACAAGTTGGATACTCGTTTGCATTTTAGCACCGCCGTTCACCCGCAGACAGATGGTCAGAGCGAGCGGACCATCCAGACTCTGGAGGATATGTTGCGGGCGTGCGTGCTAGACTTCGGTGGTAGCTGGGATACTTATCTTCCCTTGGCTGAGTTCTCGTACAACAACAGATACCACGTGAGTATCGACCGCCCTCCATTCGAGATGTTGTACGGACGGAGGTGCAGGACCCCGATATGTTGGGGAGAGGTTGGTCAGAGAGTTATGGGGAGCAGCGAAGTGGTGCTCAAGACTACCAAAAGGAGTCAGCAGGTTCGGAGCAGGCTGCAGACCGCCTAGAGTCGGCAGAAAAGTTACGTCGACAAGCGCCAATCCGACTTGGAATTTCAATTTGGGGATATGGTTCTCCTGAAGGTGTCGCCTTGGAAAGGCGTCATTCGATTTAGGAAGCGGGGCAAGTTGGGCCTGAGATTCATTGGACCGTTCAGGGTTGTAGCCCGGGTGGGCAAGGTGGCATATAGGCTAGATTTGCCAGCCGAGCTCAGCCAGATCCACAACACTTTCCACGTCTCTCAGTTGCGGAAGTGTTTGGTGGAAGACTCGGCAGTAGTGCCTTTGGAAGATATTCAGGTCGACGATAGTCTAAATTACATTGAGCGCCCTGTGGCGATCCTCGACAGGAAGTCGAATGATCTGAGGAACAAAAAGGTGGAACTCATGAAGGTGCAGTGGCAGCACCGGAAGGGTTCGAAGTGGACTTGGGAGCTGGTGGAAGAGATGATGGAGCACTACCCCGAGCTATTTTTGGAGCAAACAACAGACTTCGAGGACGAAGTCTAAAATAAGTAGGGGAGATTTGTAGTACCTGATTCCTGGTATGTATTCTTGATTATTAACTCTCATTATGTATTGCATTTTAATCTTGGACTCAGTGAGTTGAAGGACTAACTCGCCGAGTAGAAGCAGGACTAGACACGGGATCAGCTCTGTCTACTCGGCAAGTAGGCTCGTGGGACTCAGTGAGTAGACCCTGTCTGGACTAAAACCCTAACCCGGGTGTTTGCACCCTATTTAAACGATCTAACCCAGCTTCCATTTCCCCTAGCACTCCCAAAGATCTGTAGAACGAAACCCTAGCCCCTTTGTGTCCTTGTGGGTGATATCTAGCATTGTGAAGGTGGTTTGGAGCTTAGGAGAAGAAGGAGAAGGTTGAAGAGTGCAAGAAGATAAGAAGATCCGGAATCTACTCTGTGAGAGGCTTCTATTCAGGTAGAAAAGTTCCTACCTTGATCTTTAGTTCATTGAACCCCCCTTCTTGTCCCTAAAAGAGGTTTTAAGCCCTAAGAACCTAAATCTCTATGTGTTTATGGTTAATGTTCTGCAAGGACTTCAGATTTGGACCCTTAGGACATCCTAGTAGCATAAAGTCTCTGTGGTTGAGGTGATTGAGGTCCCTATTGAGTGTAGGACCTCTTAAAGAGCTTGGAATTGCATGTTTGAGCTCATAGGGCCGTGCATGCACGTAAAGTTTGCAACTTTACGTGGTAAACATGCCCTAGGACCATAGATCTATGGTTTTGAAGCGTTGCATGTCTCAGATTTGGCCTATATGGGAAATGGGTCATAGGGACTCGGTGAGTCCCAAAGAGGAACTCGACGAGTTCCATGAAGATGGCCTTAGACTCGACGAGTTGGATGAACAACTCATCGAGTCCTATGAAGATTGCCTGGAACTCGGCGAGTTGTTCTTCAAACTCAACGAGTCGGGTCACGAGTCAGTTCAATCGTCCCAAGTCATGAATGAAGAGTGATTCAGTGAATGGGAAGAAGGTCTGGTTGGGTAGGACCGGGTTACTAAGGAAAGGACTCGGCGAGTCCCAGCCATGACTCGGCAAGTCCAGTCAAGCGGGCATAAACTTTGACCAAGGGGTTGACCTTGGGCCAAGGGAGGGTCAGTCTTTTGACCTAATGGTATTCATGGGTGTCTAACCTATGTTTATGGTTTATAGCTAGAGGATTTGCGACCCAGCAGTTAGATGCTCAGCAAGCAGAATTCAGCAGCTACTTTCAAGGTGAGTTACCTTCCAGTAGCAGTGGGTCTAAGGCCACAATGCCGGCCCACTAGTAGGAGATGTATGATAGATGATTTTCTCTGTGATATTCATCTAGGGTTGCTACCACCTGTGTTATGTTTATGTGCCAGTATGATATGATGCTATGTGCTTGTGACAGTAGGGGGAGATAGTCCCTAAGATATCCGGTCGGTAGGGCCGAAGGGGTAGTCATACCCATCCATGCTAGATAGATTCTGATATTGTGATACATGTTATGTGGTAGTAGTAGAGGGGAGAAATAGTTCCCCAGTATCCGGTCGAGAGGACCGAAGGGGAGACCAGCACCCATATATGCTAGGCAGTATCCGGTCGAGAGGACCAAAGGGGAGGCCAGCACCCAGGTATGCTAGGCAACGTTTGGTCGAGAGGACCGAAGGGGTAGGTCGGGCACCCATATATGTCTGACAATATATGTATGTTATGTGTTTATATGGTATGTGGTACAGTGGGGGAACTCACTAAGCTTCGTGCTTACAGTTTTCAGTTTTGGTTTCAGGTACCTCTTCAGCTAAGGGAAAGGAGTCGACGCGGTAGCAACATCTCACACACACTCTTGTTTCCGCAGTTATGAGTTTATTTCGGGACTGATACTCTTATATTTTGGTTGTTTACATGTTGTGGATTTTAAATTTGGGATTTCGATGTGAAATGGTTTAATTAAACAATGTTTCAATTATTAATGTTTTCTAAGTAATGTTTTAAAAACGAAATTTTTAGACGTGAAAATTGGGTCGTTACATAACTACAATTTATTTCCGTAGCAAGTCCGTAGTGAATTAACTACGCCTCGATCCGTAGTAAATTTGTCGCAAATTAACTACAAACTAAATTTGTAGCTAGTTTCTGTAGCAAATCTACTATGGATAATGGCGTAGCTAGTACTCCATAGTAAATTTACTATGATCTAATTCTGTAGCAAATATTCCGTAGTAAATTCACTACAATCTACTTCCGTAGAAAATTTACTAAAATACACTCATGTTACAAATGTTTAATAGTAAATTTACCACGGTCTACTTCTGGTACATAGCAAAATCCAAAGCAATTCAACTACATAATAACTTTGTGAAAATATTGGTAGAAACTCCATAAGAATAACAATAGCAAAAATTGATGATATGATTAATTCTGTAGCAAAATACATAAAAAAAAGTGACAAAAAAAATTCCCAAAGCATATTTATAATAAAATCAACATTATGAAAGTGCAATAAACAAAAAAAAAATTACATAAATTATTAATAAAAAATAGTTTATCATGAAATTAAATTTTGCTTTGTCCAAAACACCAATAAAACTAATCTAATAATCAAACTAAACTAGAAATCAAAAACATGCAATAAATGAACGTGTCACTGACTATTCGTGTTTCTCATATCATTGACCATGTTTCTCACTTCATTCAACTCTGTCCTTTGTTGCTCTATGGTTTCCTCTAGTTTATGAATTTTTGTTTCAAGATGATGTTTTTCAAAAGTTGTCCCCGATGAAGTGCATGTTTGAGAAGAGTTTTCAGGAAAAATGGACCCGCCATATGATCCAAGCCTATAAATGTTTTTCTTAGGGTCATGTCCTCTGACAGCTTTATAAAACAGTTCACTTTCATCAACTTCTTCTCCTACGACTGCAAAATCCACACATTGAGACACAAAAAATCGTGCAATGTTATTTTTGCATTAATATATAGTTTATACAATATTATTTAAGCTTATATTATAAAATAAATTAAAATTAAGCTTAGATGAACTTCTTTAGCTTTGTCAACTTGAAAAGTCTTCTCATCATGATCCTTAGTATGGGTAAACGTGAATACATCATAGCATGAAAGAGCTTGTCCCATATATTCCTCATACATTAATACCATACAATATGTTAAATCTCACCCAAAAGATATATCAAAAGAAATATATAATAAGACTAGGTTATAATACTATGATTGAACCGGTAATAAACCAAGAGCGAGGTTATATTACTATGATATTCTAAGGATCCCATAATCATTTTCATAAACTACTAATAACTAAACAATGGGGGTAGATGGTGTACGTGTGGATGCAGGGGTAGATGAAGCTGCTAGTGTGATTGAAGGGTTGGATAACGGGGTTGATACAGTGCCAAATAGTGGAGAGGTAGATGTTGTTGGTGTGGATGTAGGGGTAACAAAAGGGGATGTTATAGTAGCAGCTGGTGTAGATGCTTCATTAAGATTCCTTTGTAACAGACGATGCATGTTTTTGTGAGGCCTTGTTGGAGCTCCTTTTAATGGGAATGGGGACATCTTTATTGTAATATAATAAGTGTATTAGAAATTAGGGGTGTTTACGGGACGGTTCAGTTCGGATAGTAATAAAATTGTAAACCGTAAGCACGGGGTAGGTACTTCGTGTGCACTACCCAAAACAGAACTGAACCGAACCGAACCGTGTGAGGACGGTTAACCACGGTTCGGTTCAGGGGTACCCGCTAAATATAAACCTCAAATTCAAACAAAATTACAAACTCTATTTCAACCTTTTTTTAATGAAAATAAGTAAGGTAGAGACTGAAAAAACATGACGGCGTCAAATAATATTCATTATAATATTTATAATAACTATTGTAATAAAAATAACACGAAAACATGATGAATGTGAAAATGCAAACTGAAAATTGCCGACCGCCATTACCGGATCATGCTTAAGGACAAAATTTTGTTATTTCAACCATCCTAACCATGAAAAAATATTATATATCGTGGCTAAAAAATATTACAGGTATACAATTAAGATGTTTAATATTTTTGTTATGTTATATATATATATATATATATATATATATATATATATATATATATATATATATATATATATATATATATATATATATATATATATATATATATATATATATATATATATAGGAAAAGTGAATATACCCTTAAGGGTATATATATTTAAGTACCCAAACACACCATAATACGTCATTATGTTTGATGTACTCATTATAATTTTGTTAAACTTTATTTTTAAATTGATTACTTTCAAGATATTCGAAATTTCATTATTATCTTTCACTTACATCACATTTTTTGTCAAACACCTATATATATTATGGTTGAAAATTAAAATTATGTAAGAGTAAAATAAATGTGTAATTTATAAAAAATATTGTAAATAAATCAAGTTAGAAGTTAAATTATAAAAACATTGTATAATTAGAATGTATTATTTGATACAAAACGATGTAGTATGGAGAGTTTGAGTACCTAAGCTTATATACTCTTAAGGGTATATTCACTTTTCTCTCTCTCTCTCTCTCTCTCTCTCTATATATATATATATATATATATATATAACAATTCGGTTCGGGTATCCGTGGATACCTAAATATTAAAACCGAAACCGACCCGTAGATAGTCGGTTTTTTCGGTTTTGGTTTTTTTCTATTTCGGTTAGTTTCAGTTCGGGTTTTTTCGGTTTCGGATTGACCGGATCGGTTCGGTTTTTCGGTTTTGCGGTTTTTTTTAAACACCCCTATTAGAAATACAACATTATATGATTAAAATATACTTATTTAATTTGTAACAAATATAATCTAACAGGAAATGAAAAGAACTTGATACCATAAAAATTCGTAAATGAATAATATATTCAGTTTACAACATAGGGGCCTAATCTTTCTGTTGAACTTTTCGGATTTTAAGCATTGTTCCATTCCGTTTTCAAGATTAGAAACATATACATAGTAAGTAAACCCCAGAACTAGCAATTATCTTTCAATACCCACCAAAAATAAACAGAGGAATCATATAAGACGGGCTTAGGGAAAATAAAAGAGAAGAAAAACCATGTTGTTGTTAATGCTGGTTATTTTTATTATTTAACAGTCGATGTTTGAACTTACAAAAAAACCATGTGGTTGTAAATAAAGGCCTTAACGTTTTTGGTCCTTTTCTTACTTTTGTTGTTGATAGGTAAAGAAGATGGTCGAGGGAAGAATACAAAAGCGAATAAGAAAAGCATACCTGGAATCACAAGGATTGGAAGCACCGAATAGTCGAAGGAAAGGAAACACGGCCAAAGACGTATAGAGAAATTTTCCTCTGCGAGGGCAAGTTACGCCTAAATATTAGGGGAATGGTTTTTAACAAGAATTCAGATCAAGAAACTTTATTCAGAAGCAGTATTCGGAAATGGTAGCTTTGTAAATCAAGTAGATCACTACTCTTCAAGAGTCAAGAGTGGTATCTATAAAAGAATCGATTTTGGTGCTTTTGTGTAATGGAAAGTACTAAAATCAGCAAACGACATTAATGTTCAAATAAAAAAATTGGTGGTACAAATTTTATCAATATTAATTCCGATTTTAGACAATTAAGGACTGCAAGCTCAAAAAAAACTAAAAAAGACTTAAATACCCTTGGCAGGAAAAAAATACAAAAATCTGCAAACAACCCCTTGCTATTTTTATGTTGATTTACTTGTGATACTGATAGTTTTTATTAAGTGATAGGCACACATGCATAACTCAATGTGAGGGTATTGTTTGAATAGTCAAAATCTGGGACTTTTTAGAAGGTTTAGTTAGCAAGTTATTTTTTATCTTTGTCCCTATTTTTTTTTAATCCCCTATTCACGATTCACATTGAATAACAAGGACATGCACCTATTCTTTGGTTACACTTAACAACTTGGTGAACAAGCTCCAAAAGTCTTTTGTTACCTGTTCTATTGACTTTCCTTTGTTAACAATTATGTTGCTTTGTAGCTGTCATAAAATCCAATCCTTGTTGATCAAGGCTAATCACGAATTTTAGAACTTACATGTATGAATACAATAACCAATATGTTAAGCTTAACCCATTAATTCATTCTACTATGAACCTACTGAATTCTTAAAAACCTTAAATTATCAAATTAATTTCACAATTACTGAAACATTAAATATTTAAAAGTAGATGTTTACTTGAGATGGTCGTACTTGGATAAGCAGCTAATTAGTATGAACGTATTGAATCCTTATATGCTTTCTTCCGGAGATGGTAACAACTATTGTTGGTTTCGTTGGAGATAAATCGCACAATAGAGTGGGAGATTGGAATTCTTCAGCAGGAATGTAAAAGTGAAAAAGAAAAAGGTATTTGATTATTAATTTCAGGTTTATTAATTTTTTTTATAAGTCAAAGTAATCTTTGATCGGTTTGAGGGTTGACCGAGTAGTACCGATGTTGACCAAATATGAGTTTGAAATAAAATTAAAGTAATATAGACTATATAAAGATAATTCTGTGATGTTCAAGTTAAAGGATACTTAGTCATTTCAATTTGTTTCACTTTTCGTTGACTCAGTGACTTAAGTATTTTCTAAAGGGTAGATGCAGATATCGTTCTTTTGATGTTTCTAGAACCGAAAATCAAGATTTCATTGACGATGCGATCGCTGCTATGCTCATTGAACAAAAATATACAATCTATTTTAAAATTGACCGACACTCTTTACTTATGTGGGTTACTTAGACCAAGGGGGTGCGTTTTCTATTAGGGGTGAGCAAACACAAACCAAAAAACCGAGAAACCGAGATCGAAAACCCGAAATTGAAGCAAAACTGACGGTTAGGGTTGGCAGTTTTTAAAAGTCGAAAAATCGGGTTCTGTTTTGGTTTTTACCCAGAAACCGAACCATCCAACCCAGGAAACCGACCCACACCTGAAAACGAAATACCTCCCCAAGAAACCGATCCATCCAACCCGAGAAACCATCCATACTTGATTGTGTTTTGGTGGTAATAGACTATTTCGAGCTTTAGTTGTAACTTGTAATAGATTATTTGTTGTAAGACTTATGCTTTTTGAAGTATTTGACTTAAATTTGGTGTTTTTAAAGTATTTAACTTGTTGCTTCATTTATGGAAAATGGATTGGAACCCAAAATACATGGGTTTAAACCCAGAACCTGTGATCAGTGTATGGGTTGAACCCAAGAAATCGAAAAACCGTCCAAACCAACCTCAAAACCCGAGAAACCGAACCGACCAGAAGCCGATCATATTAGGTTCTAAAAACCAGAAAGCGGTTGGGTTGCGTTTGGGACCAAAACCGACCCATGCACAACCCTATTTTCTATTAAGAGGTTCAGTCGAGGTCCAATGCGCATCGGAAAGCACCACAATCAATCGAACAAACGGGATGTGACAAGCCCCCTACCAAATTATTTCTAAGATTTTGGCGATTCTTGCTTACCTCAAATGCAACATGGTTGCTACTAAAGTCTGGCAATTTAAGAAAGACTTCAATCTTAAATATTAGAGGTGAGAATCAGTTTCGGTTTATGGGTTTTTTGGTTTCCTTGAGTCGGTTTCCTCGGTGTGAGTCGTGAATTCGTGAGGATTATGAGTCGTAAATACTGAATACTGAAAACCATAAAACGGTCTAAGGTCTAAAATGTATTTTACTTTATATTGGTTATTTAATATTTTATTTAATGTATAAAATATAAAAATAATTTCTAATTAAGTAATTAGTTAATGCAATTTGAAATTTCGGTTTTAAGGGTTTAAACTTTACTTGAGAAACCTCCAAACACTTAAAATTGCATACTTAAAATTACATACTGGAAAATTCTATCGTATAATATTTATGGTTTTTATATTATAGTATAATAGCTTCGACCTATGATGTTGTAGCAAATTCTGTAGTGACATAGCTATGGATTTTGACTCTGTAACAAATGTCATAGCAAGCTAGCTACAGATTTAGATGCGGTAGCAAATTTTGTAGCAAAATAGCTACAAATTTTGATTCCGTAACAATTTCTGTAGCAAAGTAACTACAAACTTTAATCTGTAGCAAGAGTTGTATCAAAATACCTACGCCTTATAATTCTGTAGCAAATTTCATAGCATGATAACCACGGACTCCGATTGCATAGCAAAATTCTGTAGTTATTCAAATATTAGCTATAGAATGCAATTCTATATCTAATTTCGTAGCAAGTATACCTACGTCAACTTGTTTGTAGTACATTCCATAGTAGAATAGCTACTGTTTTTAATTATGTAGCAAAAGTCCGTAGTTATTCAAATATTACCTATGGAATGTAATTCTGTAGCAAGTTCCATAGCAAAATAGCTATGACAAGCCATTCCGTAGCATAATCCGTAGTAGAATAACTACGGATTTTACTTTCGTAGCAAATTTCCGTGGTTATTTCAACTTTGTCTTGTAGTGCATGTGTCGTGCCTATACATGCAACTAAGTTTAGTCACATCTAGAACCGAATTGAATTTTGATGGTTGTCACACACTCCTCCATCAACTCAATGATACCTTCCTTGATCGACTCGAACATCATCGAAGTCGCCTCAAGGATGTCTCTCATAATCTCAGACACGATGAACTCGTGTAGCCCCTCATCAATTGGTTCGATGCTCGTCTGAACCCAATCCAAATCTTGAACCTCATGCTCCGCCATGTGTCATCACCATGCCGAAACACAATACATAAAAAATCAGTACACGAACAAAGAGACTCATACTCCCGAAGTTTCTCGAAATCATCAAGGCCTTCATTATCCCAAGCAATGTTGTAAAAATCCCGATTAATCTCTGATTAATCTCTAGGCGCTATTTAACCGATTAGAGAGTGCCTAGCGATTAATCCATGCATACAAAATGACTGAAACAGTAGAACCCGATGGAATTTTAACATTTTGAAAATTTTATATCTTAATAGAAACTATTTAAGGCATGATTAGTGTTGTATTTATCATATTAACCTATTTTGTTATGATATTAGTGGTATTTATGAACTTTTATATGATACTAGGCATATTTAATTTTTTAAAATCTAACAAATTAGCAATTAATGGTCCCCGATTAATCTCCGCCTAGCCGATTAATCCCTTGACCCCAATCCACCGACTAGCTAACGTCGAACGATTTTTACAATCTTGGTCCCAAGTATTGATCATATGTTTGTAGTAGTACAAGCCCAATACTACCTTCCACACCTATCCATACCTTTCTCAAGGACTATCTCGAATCCTCCAAGTGACTTCCTTACTATTAATTACTTCACTTGTAACACCCTAAACCAGTTTGACTTGAAACCCTCAAAGAAGTTACATTTTTATATAAATAGTCCCTTGAGTACATTGGGCGTACTTATGAGTATGCTTAGCATACTCTGTATGGTTGGTCGGGGAGGTGCTAGACGTACTGGGCGTACGTGTCGTGGGTGCAAACCCTAAATTTCGGACTTGTGGCCTATTTAAATGTCCTTAACCCACTTGAGCCCCACCCTCATCAGCTCTCTTCACCTTCAAACGAAGCTGGAAGCCCTAATAACCTTTGTGAGTGCTTTTTAAGCCTTAAGAGTGCATTGTGGTCCTTTTTAGTGTTCATCCTAAGAAGAAGTGGTCAAGCTAGCTTGGGACGAGTTGGTGCTTCAAGAATTTGAATCTTGGTCATCTTGCAAAGCTTCTGGAGGTAAAAAATCTTGCACCTTTCCACTCAAATCTCTAGATCTAGCTAGGGTTTTCTAGTTTTGTTCCTTTAGTTGATTTTAGATCTCCAATTGTGAGTTAAGCAACTCCAGAAGATAGGAATGACAAATTTGAGGTCCCTTGGTCCTTAATTTAGTATCATAAAAATGGAGTCTTGATGAGAGTTTTGGCCTGATGCATGGGTTAAAGACCTTGGAAAGGCCTTAATGAAGGTGTTAGGTGTATATGAGGCATACACACACACACACACACACATATATATATATATATATATATATATATATATATATATATATATATATATACTCTCGTACATACACATATACACACACACACACACACACACATATATATATATATATATATATATATATATATATATATATATATATATATATATATATATATATATATATATATATATATATATATATATATATATATATATATACAAACATGTACATCATGAGGACCTTAATTTTTAAAGCACATAACGCCTTACTAAATAAAATATAATGCAATGGAAAGTACGTAAATATATCTAGAAAGCAACCTATATTTATTTTCAAAATGTGATTTTTAATTAAATATTATATTATATTAATATAATGTGAAATTAAACAATAAATGTTTACTCGTTTTAGTTATATCATTTTAAAATTTAAAGGTTATTTTGAAAGTAAAAAATTAATTTTGAAGTGTTTTAGAAATTAATAGATAAAATATTATCTATTAATTAAAAAAAATCATTTTAGGGGGATCCCATCGGTCGAAAATTTCGAAACCCTCTCTCTATTACTCCATCTGTCCCAAAATTATAGTCTATATTTCCCTTTTGGTTTGCTCTAAAATAATAATCCAATTCTAAAAATAAATAACATTTTTACCAAAATACTTCATCATTATTACTTAATCAACTAAACATTTAATAGAAGATTAAATGCAAAGTAAGACATAACTATCAATTTATTGTATAAAGTTAGTGGTAATTAATGCTTTATTAATCTCTATGTTTTTTTTTTTTTTTTTTTTTGGACAATAATATTGGGAAGAAGGGAGTAATTCATTATCCCACTTTCTCGGATTCCCTTTCCCATTCACTACCCACGACCTCCAAAGTTCTCCCACTTCTTCTCCGATCTACAAATTACCTCTCTCTGTCGGTGACGCTGTGCTCCACCAAACTACGCCTAGTTGTATACCCTCACTGGTCAAGCGATGTCGCCTACACAACTGCTCCGCTCTGCCCTCGATCGTCCCTTCCATTCGCATCTTGCAATTCTTCATCAATTAATGAAATTGATGTTCCATACATTCAATTGAGTCTACCAGATGTTTGGATATCCAATTTTAGAAACATACACCTTGATTTTTAGTCTAATTTTGACTTATTTTGACTTTTTTTTTTCCAATTGCACTGTTCTGCATCGCATCTTGTAATTCTTCCTCAACTGATGAAATTAATGTTCCATACATTCAATTAAGTCTAACAAATGTTGTTTGGATATCCAATTTCAGAAACATACGGCTTGATTTTTAGTCTAATTTTGACTTGTTTCTTTTTCCAATCGCACTGTTCTGCATCACATCTTGTAATTCTTCCTCAATTGATGAAATTGATGTTCCATACATTCAATTGAGTCTACCAAATGTTGTCTAGATATCCAATTTCTTGATTCCCACACATATTCTGACATAAATTGGATGCATCCGACCAAAATTTATAAAAATATATGTTCTGACCCTTGGAGATTCAATTTTATATTATTGTAGTTTCAATTATATGTTTAGTATTTTATTTTTTTATAAGATATATAATTTATATATATATTTTTTATTTCCGCCTCGGGCTTACGCCTCGCTCCGCCTCAAGGCTTACGCCTCGTGAGGCGAAAGGAAAACGCCTCAAGGCGGGATTCCGTTCTTTTAAACCTTGATCCTAGTTTTGGTTTCCATTCAGGTACTCTTTTTATAATTTTTTTAAACCAATTTGTTTTCAAAATGTGTACATGTAATCTTGATATTTTAACAATCCAATGCATGCCAAATCTATAGCAATGAAATATGAAGAAATTAAAGTATAATGCTATAAAGAGTTGAAGTTAAAGTACATTACCCAAGTTGGCAGTGGAAGTAAAGTACCTTGTTATTCTCTACAATTTTTTGTTTTAACATTTTCTTTATTTTGTAGTTAAGTTTGTATTGAATCTGAGATTTTATTACAGGTTTTCATCCACGGGTTTAAGACCTTTAAAAGGTATACTTATGTATAGATTTGCACATGTAAATGGACATCCTTTTTTATGATTTTTTTAGGTAAATTAAGTGCAAGTATTATCTTTGTACAAAGTAGGATAATACATTCAAATGTATTGTATTTGTATGAATTGTATTGGTTTGTTTTTAGGTTAATTTTATGAAATAAATGTAGTAAATGAAAAAAATGTTTATTTTAATGTTTATTAGTTTTGTGGTTGAATAAGAATTTTCTTAAAATTATTATTATTTTTTTTTTTACTATTTTAGTGACGGATTTCTGATGGAATATCTGTTGGTAATGTGCGCCATCTGAAATCCATAGGTGATAAAGACAATGTCAGTCAAAGTAGGCCCCATCGGTAATCTGTAGCTATTTATTTCCCTAATTATTTCGTAGGTATTTGATCGATGAAAAATTGTCGTCAGTATTCTGTAGCTAATCCGTCGCAAATCCATCACTATTATTTACCCACGGACGTTTATGTTACGACATGTTTTCCGTCATAATTCCGTAGGTAACCCCTTATACCTACGAATTCTACCGTTTTGAGATTTTCTAGTAGTGGTTGTGGACTTGCCGACAATATTAACAAAAGACACACGGTTTACTTTCGGATCATGGATTATTCGTGGGTAATTCATATGGATTGTTTACATTGTCTGAATATCGGTTGCAACTTCAATCATTAACACATACGTACAAAAATTCTTGTTCCTTTCTATCCCGTTATTAGGGTTTACTATTTCTAGGGTTTCAATCTTGTAATCAGTCAATCATCAGATCGTTCTTGATTATTTCACTCTCATAGTAGATTTAGGAGAGAGTTGAGTAGGTTGTTATAGTGAGGTTTCCTTTGTTAAAGTTATATAAACGAATTGATCTATCATTAATAATAGATTGTTCATGTTGGGATATTGTTCTTGTTATTTTGCACAAATACTATATAAACCGATAAATATACAGGATCAAAATAGGCTAAAAGTGATGATTGAGCTGCTCGATTATAGTGAACAAAAACTGTACATGTTAGAAATGTTGATAGTTATGAATATGCAAATACGTATCGACTAGACAAATTTAACAGGAAAACTTATTACATACAGGCAACACACTACTAGAAAAACTGGTGTAATAGCTACAACACAATCCGTAGCTATAAGCAGATAGCTACAGAATTGCTACGGAAAAATGTCTGTAGCATAATGGCCTGTAGCTAAATTATAGCTACAGATTACCTACGGAAGCACTACAGAATTTTCCGTAGCTACCATAGCTTCAGAATAGCTACGGAAATAAATAGTTATGGATTTCCTACTGAATAGCTACGAAATAACTACGGAAGTGGATAGTTACGGAATAGCTACGGAAGTGGATAACTACGGATTTTCTGTAGCTAATCCGTAGCTAATTACTTTTTATTTTAAAAAAAACATTTTTTTAAATAAAAAACAATTAATTTGGTCAAAATGAAATAAAATTTCATTACATTAAACTACAAAATATCAAATACATTACACAATGAAGAGGCTACTATTAAACAATGAAGAGGCTGTTATTAAACAATGAAGCATTATCAAGATAGCATATATTAAGAGTCTGCTATGAAAATAGCATAATAAATTAAGAACTTACCAAAATAGAATACACTAAGAGGCTGCTATCAAACCATGAAACATTAACTTATCGAAATACCAAAATTTATCTTGCATGTTAAAGCACGATAAGCTTATAAATTTACCAAACATATAGTCAACAAAAAGCATATGAAAATAACATAATAAAATGCTACTAAAGATTTAAACATCTTAACATGCAAAATAAAATGTCACTAGGTACACCTAGGCTTCATCTAATTGGACATGCAAAATTACCTCCACAATCTTTATCCTAAACCGCCTTCCTAATCTTCATCTTTAGCAGATTCCTAAACTTCTTCAAAACCACATCATGATGAGTATTGAGACTATTCAACTTATGTAGTGCAAGAGTTTGTTGGGTAGTATGCAATTGTCCAACATTATCCACTCCAGATTTACCCATATCATCTTGAATCAGTCCATCATGAACACCTTCAGTTTGAACCCCTTCATCTTGACCCACGTTTGGTTGAATCCCTTGACCTTGAAACCCTACAATAGTTTTTTTTGTCAAAATTGTCATTTTTACCTTTTTGGTCAATTTGATCATTTTGGTCACTAAAGTCATTTGGACCACTTAAAACTGAAATATAAGAACATATTGAACACTACAACATTTTTTTTTTGTCAAAATGACCATTTTGGTGTTTTTGGTCATCTGGACCAAATTTAATTAGCCTTTAACCCTTAAAAAGAAATCAAATTTAAAGATAATTAATATGGAAAGATATCAAACTCATACTATATATGATCAGTATTAAATAGGGTTTACATATTGTTAATATGTAGGAGTTACATAAGCCTAGTAAGTTAGAAAAAAAATGAAAGAAGAAGAAAGTAAAATAAAATAATTTTACTTACTTCTAGGCTTATAAAAGAAAAACAAATGTGTTGTGATGTAATAATTTTGCATGTGTTCGAGTTAGAAAGAAAAAAGAGAACACTTGCACAATTATAACAACAATTGGTAAAAATAAGACATAGCTATATCATATACATACATCTTATTGGTTAATTGGTAGTACCTGCTTGTGCCTGAAAAACAAGAGGCTTGATTTTCCTATTTTTCATCTCTTCTAGCAACCACATTGCATCATCCAGTTTCCCTAGTTTATATGCAGCATCAATCGCAATATTAAACGAGACCCCATCAACAAAAACCATTGATTGCTGAGTAAAATGCTTGAATAAACATAGAGCTTCATCAGGCATGTCCAAAGCGCACAAGTATTGTAGCTTCGACTCTTCTACAAAACCTAGAATGACACAAGAAAATTAACCTAAAAACTCAAATTCGACCTAAAATAAAATCTAAAACCTCACATTTAACAAAACAAATCAACATTATCACTGAATTAACCATCTAAAGTTGTATACATGAAGTAATATCACAAAAAAACAAAAAACAAAAAAACAAAAAAACTAGGGTTTTACCTTTTGGGGAAGAAATCGAGCAAGGAGGCCAAGGGGGGACGACTGCGATGGCCAAGGGGCGGCGACGGCGACGGGCCGGGCAACGGAGAAGAAGGCGGCAACGACGGGCTGGGCGATGGAGAAGAAGGGTCGGCGACTGGCTGGATAGGTTCTTCAAAATCGAGCAAGGAGGCCAAGGGGGGACGACTGTGACGGCCAAGGGGCGGCGGCAGCGACGGGCTGGGCGATAGAGAAGAAGGGTCGGCGAATGCTGGACTGGTTCTTTGTGTTTTTTTTTTTTTTTTTTGCTTTGTCCGTCCACTGCTTCACAGATGTTATATGAGACATTTTCATTAAAAAAAATAGCTACCGATTTCTCTATAATAAACCAAACACTTACCATCCGGCCTGGCATGCCAGTATGCCACTTCCAAATTAAGGCCGGAATGCCACTTCCAAATTACCTTTCTCTCTTATTGCTTACCTTTCTCTCTTATTGCTTATATACACTTCCTTCATATTATTATTAACATTATTATTATTATTATTATTATTATTATTATTATTATTTCTATTATTATTATTATTATTATTATTATTATTATTATTATTATTTCTATTATTATTATTATTATTATTATTATTATTTCTATTATTATTATTATTATTATTATTATTATTTCTATTATTATTATTATTATTATTATTATTATTATTATTATTATTATTATTATTATTATTATTATTAGCTATAAGTTGATCCCGAAGGTGCACACGAAAATAAAAATAACCATGGATGATGATGGTGGTGGTGATGGTGATTGTGGTGGTGGTGGTGGTAGTGGTAGTGGTGGTGACGGTGACGGTGATGGTGATGGTGATGGTGGTGGTGGTGGTGGTGGTGGTAGTGGTAGTGGTGGTGACGGTGATGGTGATGGTGGTGGTGGTGATGTTGATGGTGATAATGGAGGTGGTGGTGGTGATGTTGATGGTGGTGGTGGTGGTGATGGTGATGGTGATGGTGATGGTGGAGGTGGTGGTGTTGGTGATGGTGGTGGTGGTGGTGGTGGTGGTGCTGATAATGGAGTTGGTGATGATGGTGGTAATGGTGATGGTGGTGGTGATGGTGAGAGTGATGGAGATGGTGATGGTGGTGATGGTGATGATGGTGATGATGATGCTGATGATGATGGTGATGATGATGCTGATGATGATGGTGATGATGGTGATGATGATTATGATGATGATGATGGTGGTGGTGGTGATGATGATGATGATAGTGTGGTGGTGGTGATGATGATGATGAGCATGATGTTTGTGGTGATGATGATGATGATGATGATGATGATGGTGGTGGTGGTGGTGGTGGTGGTGGTGATGATGATGGTGATGGTGATGATGATGGTGATGATGGTGATGGTGGTGATGGTGATGATGGTGATGGTGATGATGATGATGATGTTGATGATGGTGATGATGGTGATGATGATGATGTAGATATACGTGTTTGTGAGATGTATGTATACGTATTCATAAGCATTATAGTGTTAAACCATTAAACAAGCAATAGTTTTCGTATGTGCACACGACTTTATAAATGATATTAATAACTATAAGTTGGTGAAAATATAGATAATCATGTATAATAGATGTGTGAAAAAAATGGAGCGAAAAAAATGACGTTTGGTGCTCGAAAACTCGAAAATAAGAAAAATCTGTAGCTAATTAGCTACGGATTTGCTACAGAATTCTAACGTAAAACATATTCCGTAGCTAATTAACTACGGATTAGCTACGGAATATGTTTTCCGTTACAATTCCGTAGCTAATCCGTAGCTAATTAGCTACGGATTAGCTACAGATTCTTCTTATTTTCGAGTTTTTGGGCACCAAACGTCGTTTTTTTCGCTCCATTTTTTTCACATCTCTATTATATATGATTATCTATATTTTCACCAACTTATAACTATTAATATCATTTATAAAGCCGTGTGCACATACGAGATCTATTGCTCGTTTAATGGTTTAATAGTATAATGCTTATGAATGCGTACACATACATCTCACAAACACATATACATATACATATACGCGTATACATATACCACAACTCATTCATGTATATAAATATACATATACAAACATAATCCATCACAAGTTGGTGAAAAGTATAGACATTACAATGTTAAATTGTGAAACGAGCACTTGATCTCGAAGGGTCCCACGACTTTATGAACGATATTAATAGCTATAAGTTGGTGAAAATATAGACAAGAGTAAATTACTGAAATCGTCCATGTGGTATGAAAAAATTGTACGTTTGGTCTCTAACTTTTTTTTTTTTTTTTATTTTTTTATTTTTTTTATTTTTTTGCACTCGGATGGTCCCTGTGGTTTGATTTTGTTGTGTTTTTCATCCCTATGGTTTGGTAAAAGTTTCATGTTTGGTCCTTAGCTTTATGTATGTAAGGGACGAAAAATGTAACAAAATCAAACAACAGAGACGAAAAACACAACAAAATCAAACCACAGGGACGATCCGAGTACAAAAAAAGTTAAGGACCAAACATGCAATTTTGACCAAACCACAAGGACGATTTCAGTAATTTACTCTATAGATAATATGTATAATAGAAGTGTGAAAAAATGGAGTGAAAAAAACGACGTTTGGTGCCTGAAAACTCGAAAATAAGAAGAATCTGTAGCTAAATAGCTACGGATTAGCTACGGAATTCTAACGGAAAACATATTCCATAGCTAATCCGTAGTTAATTACCTACGGATTAGCTACAGAATATGCTTTTCGTTAGAATCCATAGCTAATCCGTAGCTAAATAGCTACATATTTTTCTTATTTTCGAGTTTTCGGGCACCAAACGTCGTTTTTTTCATTCCATTTTTTTCACACCTCTATTATACATGATTATCTATATTTTCACAAACTTATAGCTATTAATATCATTTTTAAAGCCGTGTGCACATACGAGATCTATTGCTCGTTTAATGGTTTAACGCTATAATGCTTATGAATACGTACACATACATCTCACAAACACGTATACATACACATATACACATACATATATACCACAACTCATTCATGTGTATAAATATACATATATAAACATAATCCATCACAAGTTGGTGAAAAGTATATGTATTACAATGTTAAATTATGAAACGAGTACTTGATCTCGAAGGAGCACATGACTTCATGAACGATATTAATAGCTATAAGTTGGTAAAAATATAGATAATCATGTATAGTACATGTGTGAAAAAAACGAAGCGAAAAAAACGACGTTTGGTGCCCAAAAAATCAAAAATAGGAAAAATAGGTAGCTAATTAGCTATGGATTAGCTACAAAATTTTCTTATTTTTGATTGTTCGTGCACCGAACTTCGTTTTTTTTTCACTCCGTTTTTTTCACACATCTATTATACATGATTATCTATATTTTCACCAACTTATATCTATTAATATCATTTATAAAGTCGTGTGTACATACGATATCTATTGCTCGTTTAATGGTTTAACACTATAATGCTTATGAATACGTACACATACATCTCACAAACACGTATACATACACATATACACGTATACATATACCACAACTCATTCATGTGTATAAGTATACATATACAAACATAATCCATCACAAGTTGGTGAAAAGTATATGTATTACAATGTTAAACTGTGAAACAAGTACTTGATCCCGAAGAGGCACACGACTTTATGAATAATATTAATAGCTACAAGTTGCTGAAAATATAGATAATCATGTATAGTAGAGGTTTTAAAAAAACGAAGCGAAAAAAACGACGTTTGGTCCCCGAAAAATTGAAAATAAGAAAAATCCGTAGCTACTTAGCTACGGATTAGCTACAGAATTCTAACGAAAAGCATACTCCGTAGCTAATCCGTAGGTAATTAGTATCTGTAGATATTCCGTAGCCATTCTGTAGCTAATTAGCTACAGAATAGCTACAAATTTGCAATCTTTAGCTATTCCGTAGCTATTCCGCAGCTAATTAGCTACAAAATAACTATAGACTCGCATTCGTAGCTATTCCGTTACTAAATTATAGCATTCCATTATCTGTAGTTATTCCGTAGCTAATTAGCTACATAAATTTTCCGTAGCTATTTTATGTAGGAAAACGTCATGTTTTCTAGTAGTGACACTTGAAGAATATGAAGCCAACAAATTACAATGGTGCATTTGTTGAAAATATTACAATAAGCAAACTTGAAACAACAAACAGATTTTGAGGACACGAATAATCTATTTTTTTGACAATGAAATGACTAGAATAAAGTGTCCTGTCTTCTTTTTAGCTAGGTATAATGCCACATGCTTTTCATACCTTTTAAATAACACGTCAATAATGGAATTTCCAAAATGAAATGCCAACATTGGTTCCACAACAGCTCTAACGACTTTTGCTGCCTTTTCCCCATAGATAAGGCTAGGCTCATCAAAATCTTTGGTATTTGCATCACCATCCGTATCGATTGGATACCAGTTGACTTGAAAAGAATTCAAGATATCAAGAGAAAACGATCCCTCATTTCTAATAGCATTCCTAACTTCATCCTCGTATGGAGTATAATATGGCATATTGAATGAGTTCAAATCTAATTCTTGGATCAGTCCCTACAGAATTTGGTAGTAGTTAATTAGTCGCTGAAACGAATATGTATACGTATGGAGCAAAAGAGAACCTCATACATATTTTAGCAAATCAAGAAGTGATAGCCCTAGTAGATGCCAAAGATAGATACAATCATCACAGGTTGGATCAGCCATACTCCGACCAAGAAAAGTTAATACCATGCATCCACCTCGTACTATTTCCTGAGAGCGTACCTGTAAAAAGTTTCTAAAGTCGCTCTGAAATTGCTTTTCATATGCTTCAAACACATTTGGGGGACTTGATTTGGCGATGTATATATTCGTTGTGTTGTTTTCAATACCTTCAGGTGCCTATATCACATATCACATCAACAAATGAACCATATAATTTATACATCTTCAGTAGTACACGATAACATAACATGGAGATCTTATTATTGGTTCGTTTGGCATGCACCCGAAATATGAAATGAGAAATTAAATTATCTCTTACCTTTTATTCCTACGATTAATCCTACCCACTAAAATTATGACAAATCACCATTCAGTTTAATTGTATTTGATATATTCTTAATATAGTCTTAATGATTTAGTTTAAAAAATATGGAAAGATGATAGTTGTCATAATTTTATTGGGTAGGAACATTTGTATGCATAAAAAGTAAGAATCAATTTAATTTTTCATATGAAATTAAGCCAAAGGATGTTAGTGTTTTATTGAAATTATGGTTTTTGTATTATTTGATTTTTGTTTTACGGAAACTTTATGAAAACAGATTTTTTCTATTAAATATTTTTATGATTTTTTGGGACCATATATATATAGATCGATGTCTCTTAAAGTAATTATATTTTCTGAAATTATTAATTACCTCTATATATAGCCAAGTTTTTGCCTCTAAAATTAATTAAATGATTAAATAATGTATTAGTTTTAGAGACGAACACTTGTGGCTTTAATGACTTTCAGTGAATACTTTTAAATAGTCGCAAAAGATACTTTTAGCGACAGGACTAAATTGGCAACGACAGTCATCGCTGGTTTTTAGTTACAACAATTAAAAATACTTTCTAGACAACTTTTGACGTTTGTAAAAGGCACTTTTGTACTAATCAGCAAGAAGCCAACAACAAAACAATTCCGTATTTTCCAAAAACAGCTAAGTTAAATTTGTTGTTAAAATATAGTCCTTTGACTTCAAACGATTGAAAAAGTTT